CATTCTCTTATAATTTATTATTTTCTATTTATCTTCATAACATGTTAGCTGCATTTGGTTTTGCCTGTGTTCATCGAATTCGGTGAACCAGGATACAGGATGATTTATGCCGATTTGCAAAACCGTTTGTTTTGTTAATTAATTTATCTTATTATAAAATTTTTCAATCGGTATGTACCACAGAAAATCTTTAAAGTATGCTACGAAAGTTTTAGAAAATATAAAATGAATAAAAAAATTTAAACAAATTAAAATTTAATGTTAAAATGACGTATTAAAATGAATTGTAATTTAAAAAGTAATTTTTAATAATCACTTTGGAGGAATTTCGATATCATATATTAATTATGTTTTTAAAAATGTGTTGATTCTCAAGCATTTATGTATATTTATTTGTATAATATTTATATATTTATTGTATATATAGACATTATTATATATACCATTTTTTCTCTTATTTTGATAAAATTATTCGTGGCTCTGTTATAAGTCTCTAGTTTGGACGGTTTTAGTACTTCATCCTTTCTAATCCATCCCGTATATAGCACAGAAATTTGCAGCAATATTGCTGCAATATTGCTGGAAAGATGTGTGTTGCACGAGTTGTTTTAGGCTCGGTTACTTTGACTTTAAGCAAAGCTTAAAGCTCTCTCTATATCTTTTTAGGTTTTAAAACGAGACAGAGATAATTTTAAGTTTCACTTAAAGTCAAAATAACGTTGATGCAACCAGACAAAATACAAGTGTAATAAATCTTAATTAAGAAATCATTCGAATGTGAGAATAACACTCGATTATGATTGTTTTTCTTAGACCTGATTGCACCAACGTTACTTTGATTTTAAGCGAGGTTTAAAACTCTTTCTGTCTCTTTTAAAACGAGACAGATAGAGTTTTAAGTCTCACTCAAAGTGACATGGTGCAACTGGGCCTTAATGAGTTTTTTACAATAGCTACGTTCGAAGAGCTCTATCAACATTATTACACCATGCTATCCTTATCTAATGAACGATAAAGACAGAATGATGATAAGAGCTATGAGCTCTAAAAAGTGCTTTCCATTAGTGACACAAGTGTTATTCTATCTTGATTACTTATTAAATGTAAAGAAAGATAGAATGATACTTAATTGTGTCGATTTAATTGTATAATTATTCATTTCTTTTAATATAGATTATCTTAATTCAATTTACTCTTCATCTTTTTCTAATTCTTAGAGGTAGACAAAGAAGAAGAGTTAGTTGAACCAAAATTAAAATTATATTGATATAAACAGGCATAAATGGAAAGCATCCAAACAGAATGCAGCCAAAGCGTAGGATAGTACGTACAGCTACAGTGTGGCGCGACGGTGGTGGTCGTGCATTCCTCGTGCACCCTCTTGAGTTGCATTGCACAAGTTCACACTTTGGCAGCATTTTGTGTGTGTGTGTGTGTGTGCGTGCGTGCGTGTGTGTGTGTGTGTGTGTGTGTGTGTGTGTGTGTGTGTGTGTGTGTGTGTGTGTGTGTGTGTGTGTGTGTGTGCCAGCACTCCGGAGTCACCAGAGTCCAGCTGCCAGCAACGTGCGCGATGTGCGGCGCGCGCGAGCAGTAGCGTAGCGAGTCGCCGTCGCGCGAGTTCGCCGTTGGGCGAGTCGAGTCGAATCGAGTCGAATCGAGCCGAGAGCCGAGTCGGGTCGCGCGAGAACAAGTAAGCGGGACGAGCCAAAGGAGAGTAAAGTTCTCTCAGTTCTCTCTTCAGTTTCTTCGTCTTCATCGTCGTCCCGTATGTGCGTCCCTCGTCGGCGCGTCGCCGTCGGCCATTGTCCCTGACATGGAAGCCTATCAAAATGGCAGAGATCGTGCAGATGTTTTTGTTCCTATATAAATCCAAGTACCGTCGGAAACGTCGTCGCGACGTCGACGATGACGACGGCGACGGCGCGTGGTTCGATCATAACCGCGAGCAGAATTGCGATCGGCAGTGGCGGTGTCGTTGTCGGTGTGGCCATGGCAGCAGCGGCGGCGGCAGCGGCGGCGGCAACGCGATCGCGACGGTGCCGTGGGCACCGTTTCTATTGTGGGTGGCACTCGTCTGCTGGGTGGTCCACGTAAGCGCCGCCGCCTCCACCTCCTCGTCGTCGCCGACGTTGGACGCGGGCTGCGATCCTGACACCTGTGTCAACGGCATCTGCGAAAATGGCATCTGCGTGTGTCGCGAGGGCTGGCAGGGCGCACACTGTCAATTTTGCGGTGGGAAAGTCAGGTAAGACGTTCACCTGTCAATTCAGGAAACTGGGACTTTGCGATTCTGTCTTTTTTGATTCCTTTCACTCAGATTCGATTGCATCAACATTACTTTGATTTTAAACGAAACTTAAAACTCTCTCTATCTCGTTTTAAAACTGAAAAGAGACGGGGACAAAGAGAGTTTTAAGCCCCGCTTAAAATTAGAGTAATGTTGGTGCAATGGGGCTTTAATCTTCTATTTCTTCCTCATTTTTTTTTTACTTTCTTTGATTCAATCTTGTGGCACATCGTTGTTGTCTTATTTTTTGGAACGCAAGACGGAGCAACGAGTGTTTAGCCTGCACGCTCTAGGAGGAAAATGCCTTTCAGATGCTCGGGAGAGCACTTGTAGATACATGCGAGAGATATTCTCGCGAGCCTGTGTATTTCTCATATATATTTTAAACGTCGTGTCAAGTGCAACGGGATTTCTTCGCTTTCTAGGTCGTCCTCGTTGCTTCGATCGCGACGAGTTCCGGGTGAGCAGACAACAGAGGGATTCACTCCCCTCGCGCGACGTAAATAAATGTCTGGATGCGTGCATGCGTGCGTATGTGCTTTCGGTCGCCTCTTCTCGAGAGAGGCGTCTTCGAAAGCTTGTTCCTGTTAGCCGCACCGCTCAATAGCTTTTCAGTCCACTTTCTTGCTCTTCTTCTTTGACATTCAATCGAATTTCTATATTCGACAAGTTGAACGATTATTTTGTTTAGTTTTGTTTGGGCCGTTACAAGGAGAAAGCGGATGAAGGAATGTATCGTTGAGCTAAACTCGTTTCGGGCTCTTTTCTATTGATGTAGAGACCAATGTAATTACAATGAGTACTATAATCTCGGTTTAATTTACTCTTTATGTTTTTCTAATTCTTAGAACTAGAAAAATCTTTAATTTTGAACAGTAAGTTTTGAATCGAAATTAAAATTAACTCTTATAATGTAAGGTATAATTTGGTATCTCATCCATCCGTTTTTATCACCTATTTAGAATGATTAAAAAAAATCTCTAAAAATTCACCAACATACTGTCAATTTTCTAGAATAAATATTGAAACTTCATTTTGGAAAATAAAATGTATAGTACAATTTATCGAAAGATTCAAAGAAACTTGCACGAACAGGAATCATTCAATCACTAGTGACCCGATCTTGTATGATAAGCGTTAATTTACATTAGTAAAAATGAACTGTTATATATATATACTGAAG